TATTATTATTATTATTATTATATTATTATATTATGATTATACAGTATTATTAAAACTGGAAACATTCAAAATTCTTTATCAATGGGAATATTTTTAAAAATACTTTCAGATAATTTGCAACCCAGAACAATTTGATTAAAAATCATTAACATGCTCAAAAATATTAGATTTTGAATAAAAATATACAAATATAAAATTATTACTTAAGTGAGCGCGAGCATAAGTAAGCATGCACTAAACACAGCGGTAACTAATGTCACCTGGGCACTCCCGTTTGTGCTATACACACACGATTCATAGTATGTATAATTACCGTGGTTATAATCCTGTTTACCGGTATAAGGGCTGATTATGCTCTCTCGGATATGCACACCAGTGCACGATTTCTTATTGCATATATTCAGTAAAGAGGAATAAATTATTTGGGAATTATGGGTAATATCCAGGTAATTGAATTGACACAAATAATTGCCCATGGTCGTATCGGTGGGGTGAGGTATGGTTATGACCACGTGATCTTGATTTAGGCGTATAGTTGAGTCCATTTGTCGGGCAGTGCTCGTTGATAGACACCCCGTACCTATAATTTGATCATTATTAGTGAAGTGAGCTTTTGCTTATGTTTGCCCTTGTTCACTCGACCTACCATTGTTGTTTGTCATATCTATCGAGTATAACAAGGTTGTGTTTTTGTACATTTTAATCGAGTATAATGTGGTGTAATTGGTTCGGGGATAACTGCAATACAGGTCCACTTTTTGGTCGTTAGTGTACTCACACTTAAAACTGTCATTATACAGTAATATCTGCCAGTGTGGTATTATCATAGGACCTAATAGTCATCAAAAAACAAATTCATGAGATATTAATTTGAATTGGACGATAACTTACTAATAAAACTAATATCAATGTGTAAGTATATTCTCATTAAGTGGACACCCTCAGTTAATTAGCTAAAAACTGGTGAATATTGTTGCATCTATGAATAAATTAAAATGTAACTTACCCTTATCAGTTTCACATAGCGTGTGATGTGACAAATACAACATACAAACAATTAAAGCAATCCAATACATAATAACTGAATTTAGTAAACTTTGTAACTTAATGAAATAATAACTAATATAATCAGGCTTAATATAACCAGTTAGTGCTAAACTAGTCAGGATATTTAGTTTTTAAAACGAATAAGGTAGTATTTAGTGCGCTATTATAATGAAATATTTAAAGCGATATTAATTTATGCAAAGGTGTGCCTTTATTTAGAGAATCGGAAACATTTTAAAAAGCATGTAATGCAAAAGTAATAAAAAACAAACTTTGAAATATTAGTTTGAATAAACCCAAGGTTATTTACTATGTATGTAATAATTGACCTGCTCGTATAAAACATGTTTATTATATTTATACGTATTTAAAGTTTTAAACTTTTTGCGCGAATGGTGTTTGAAATGATAAACATTCTGTGCAATCGATGTTAGATTTTCGGAAACCATACATTTCTTATGTGCACTAAATGACATTGCTTACACGTAACTATAAATGAAGAGTATTTATTTGGAAAGGAAGTGTATTTCGTATTGAAAATTAAAATATTAAACATTTGAAATTCAAATTTTGAATATTTCGATGAAAAGTACACCAAAATGTTCACCAATAATGACAATTTTATTGGGAGACATTGGTAAGATTTTTAAATGATTACATCTTGTTATGTAACACATTGCTATATGACTTGAAACTAATCAAATGCAGTCTCTCAATTATTTTATCTTATAAGCAATATTTTTGTGCTTTTTTGTGCTTTCTACTAAAGTATACTTATACTAATGTAAGATTTTATACTTTAGTCGAAAGCACAGAAATATTGCTTATAAGAT